TTTCTCTCTTTAAAATAATAATTACAAGTATTTTTATTCCTTATTGCATAAAATAGATTTTTTTTTAGAATTTCTCTCTTCTTTTTTTTTACCTACTCAAACAAAATAGAAAACACCAAAAAGCCACAAAAATTGATATCCCAAATGCAACACATAAACTATCTAATGCCCCTTCTCTCCTCAACTTCTTCTCTTTTCTTTCCCTTCTCATTTCCAAAAACTCTTTATACCTCTTCCTCCCTATTTCACCTCTATTAGCTCCATTTCCCCTTTTACCCTCCAATACATTTTGTAAAATTACCAAACTCTCCCTCCCATTCAAATGAGTTCCATCCATATCCTCCACTCCCAAACACACTTCCCTCACCTGCATTTCTCCTACCTCAGATCCACCGCACGTGACAACTATATCACACTGCACGTGACCTCTCTTTTGATCAACGGTTAGGATTGAAGTAAAACGTACCTGCACTTCGCCGGTTAACCAGTGCCGTTGTACGGAAACGGACTTGAAGGAGGAGAGGTTTATCGATCGCCGGCCGATCGGATCAATCAAAATCCAACTCAACGTCATGTGATCAATCAGATCCGTACACGTGCCGTCGTCGCTCGGGTGTTTGATAGGCGTTGAAATCACCTCCTTTGGATCTATCATGTCGATTCTGAACGGCGAGGATTGAAACCAACTCGACGTCGTTTCAGTCTCTTGTACGTTACTGAAAATCGCTTTGTTTTTGTAGTGTATATCGACGGCCGATATTAATTCCGGCGGTGAAGATGAACGGCTTGCAATTGAATTTGTCTGTTGAACAATCCACTGTTTCCGATTCCGATCAAACAAACACACAGAGAAAAAGTTTGATAGGATTATATATATAGTAGATCTTAGCGACGTCAAACTCACTGACTCTACATCGTGAATTTGCTTATTCTCGGAGGAAGGGTGAGAGAAGGACTGAGAGAAGAAGGTACGGTGACCGGCGTCGGGGAAGGTGGAGATGACGTGGCTGATACGAGGAGTGGCGGTAGACGGCCAAGTGGAGTGGCATACACGTGACCATAAGTGGTTTTCTGAGGAGAGGTGGTGGAGAGTGGAGGAGGAACAGCTGGTGGAAGCTAGAGTTGGTCCGTCGAGTCGAGTGAGTATATGAGCTTCGATGATATATGGATGCAAATCGGCAAAACCGGTTGCGCTGCCATCTTCCTCCGTGACGGTGGTGGTGATAGTGGTGGTGATTGGTGGACTATGGAGTGAGGAAGTCATTTGAGAAGTGTGAAATTTTTGCTTGTTGAGAGTTTGAACTTTGAAGTTGTGTTGTATTTATAGGTGCCTGCAAAGGGAAACGGAAAGTGAAATATTTGGGGAAAAGGCCCTTTGTATTTTCTATAATTACGGAAACTTAGTTAGTCGCTGCCACTGCGTGGACTCGTGAATACATGAATTTTAATCTTAATACATGATGGTTTCACCATAATCATCGGAGCGGAGTTAGGTGGAATTTATAAGTTTGGATAAATTTAATAATTTTTTTAGAGATATATATTAAAAAATTAATTAAATATATATGTATATTAACTTGTGAACTTTCAACAAACATAATTAATAGTATGTAGATACTTTTCAATTTTTATGCTAGAATCGTGATTCAAATCATCAACTCTCAAATTTTTAATCCTGACTCCATCTCTGTGTATTACATAATCTGTTATTTATGAAGTAAATTAGTTAGGAGTTTTAAACTATACGTCTAGTTAAATATATTTACATAAACTAAAATATCAATAATAACAACATATTTAATATAATTCAACAAGATTACAAATACGCAATCTTAAAAAAATAAAAAAAATCTCAACTAAGTAAAACATAACAAAATTTATATACGAAAAAAAAATACAATAATAAAATAATCATAACGATATCAAACTAAACAAATATTGACGTTCAAATTATAATTAATTACTTGACTCTTAAACGTAGCTTTCGTGGGCGGTCCTGAAATAGAAGCCAATGGAAGGGGAATTACGTACACGGTCTTAATAAAATAATAATAGAAGTACATGCAGAGTCCACAATAATATTGTTAATTGCCGGTGTTTTAACGTTAGCTTTGTGTTTATTTTCTTATGATTTGAATGAGCAAATATAAATCCTACGTATTATTCTTTTTCTTTAATTTGTTTGATCTATTTTTTGTTATAATTCATTTAAAAACTTAGATCAAGTACATTGAATCAGGAGCGGCTTTAGTAAATTGGTGGCCTAAAGTTAAATTTAAATGGAAGCCTTAGATTTGAATACATATTTTTATAAAGTTTATCATAGTCATTATTTAATCTCTCTTGAGGCATAGTATTCATAATTTCTCAAACTTTTATTATTTCTTTACTCTTTTATATAAAAAAAATTTATTTTCTACAAATAACATTCAATATTATTTTTAAAAAAAACTTTTAACCTATTATTTTTTTAAAAAATAAGGCCCCTCAAATTTTGGGGGCTAACGCGATTGCTTTTTGTGCAAAGCTGTAGAGTCGCCCCAGCATTGAATTAAAAAAAAACCATATTATAGGATTTATTAATATTTAGATCATAAGTTTTTTAGGATAAAATTAAGAAAGTAAATACAACTATACAAGGGAGTGTACGAGTAGTAATACCGATGACCAAAAAGTCTACATCATTATTTGTCATGCATATTATACTATTGTACTAAACTTTTTTTTTTAATTATTATTATTAATGCATTACTTGTGGAACCCTCTTTCTTTTCTCTTAAAGAAAAAAAGAAAGAATAGAAGAATTATTACGTATCCTCTTCGTTTCATTTTATATGAATTATTTTGATTTAACGTAAATTATAAGATGGAAAATATGATTTTTAAAATTTATGATATAAAATAAATGATAGATGTCTGACTAAAAACATTTTATTAAGTAAAATGAACATTTTAAAACTAAATTATTATTTAATATAAAAATATATCACTTTTTCTGACTGATAAAAAAAAAGTCAAACAAATTTGGATAGACGAAGTAATATATTTGTCTCGATATATGTCGTATAGTTCAAATTTTGACCGTAAATTTAGACATAAAATCTTTAAATTTTTGAAATAAAATTTACACATTTGCAGAAACTATGTAAGAATATTTTTATATCACAATAAATAACAACTCAAAATATCTAAAAGTTAAATAAAAAATTACTATTAAAGAAAAACTTTTTTGAATTCCTAAATTCAAAAAATACTACATAAATTAAAACGGAGGAACTAATAAGTAATATGTTACTATAAGTACATGTTTGATGTCTGAACCCTATATCAAGGAAACTAAACTTTGATATTAAGTAGAGTCTAGAGAAGTAAAAAAAACGAGCTTATCATTTCTGAGTTTCGAAGATGCATTGGTCCAAAAAAATTAGCTATATATAGATTTTTCGATCATTAAAAAATATAAAGAAAGGATCAACGTGATCACACCGTAAATAAATATAATTGTGTTTCTTAGTGGTTTGACTAATTGACTCTTTAATGGAATCTTTTTGTGATATTTTAAGTTAATGGGCATTGAACCCCTGTTGGTTCATGCATTTATCTGTGACTTCACATATTTCAACTTGGCAAATTGTTATAAATTATATAAGAATAAAAACAGAAAAAAAGGTATTATGAATTTTTTACTTTTAAAGTCAATGGGTGCTTGTGTAACTGTTTTTTATTTTCTTAGTAAATCATGTGTTCAAAATAGTAATCTCAAAAATTGAGAAATTAATGTTAACTTAATCTTTTGAGCTAACAAATATTATTGTGCGTCCTTGGGTATTTGATGCATTGAATTATTTTTTCTCGAAGATAAGGTATATACGCTTGTTATTAAAATAATGATATCTTAAACGTTAATAGTTTTATTAAACTTAAAGACATGAATAACAAATTACATAAAGATTCAATATTTATTATAAGAGAGTATGTAGAAGAAGTTTAGAAAATTAATTTTGAAAACTTAAGCTAATACTCTGAATTTATAGCTAACGAAGGATAAAAGTGAATTATATGTACTATAATGTCTTTATAAAAGAGTCACAATCTATTCAATGTAAAAATAATAATGTTTTCATAGGTTAATTTATGGTCATTTAATATATGTTGTTTACTACTTATTTATCCATTCTTTTTCAGATTTTTTATGGTAAAAATTATTAAAAATAAATTTGTAGGATATAAAATTAAAGTAAAAAATACAATATAACTGTGTCAGTCATCGTTTTGGTCCCGCTTTCTCCTATCTTACATTAATCTATTATAGAATTAAATTTAAAGTTTGATTATTCAGTAATGACATATATCTTTGGTACTTAAAACTTAAAAAAATGGCAGCATGAGACAAAGTATTTTTGTGTATTAAATTGTTCACAAGGGTCAATTTGATTTCAATCTTCGAAAAGCCATTGATTTCAACTATTGTTTATGTATGATTTCATACTAAATTCGATCATCAGTAATTTTGTATTAGGATTTTATTATAGCGAAGTAGTTTATGTATTACCTTACAAATCAAGCTCAGGAGTAAAAAGTGACAAATGAATAATTGAACTAAATTTGAACGGATCAATATTAACTGAGTAACTTATTCTTTCTTTCGTTATTTTATTTATAGACATCCCTCGACTCTATTCAATTTAAATAATCATAAGTTATTACGTTTTTCCTTAATATTTATCTTTCTTGAAGTTTTACAAGTAATTTTTGAATGTCTTGTGTCTTCTCGAATTGGGGCATTATTATGTATATGGCTAGAGCATTAAGTTTGAATTAATTTAAGGTACCATAAAATCATTTAAGTACGTTTCTATTCAAGAATATATTACGCGAATTGCAACAATATAATTCACAATATTATATTGTATTTGTTGATATCTAACTTTGACATAAAATTTTTAAAGTTCATACTTTTAAATTTTATTCATTAAAAATAGTTAAAAAAGACTTTTTTTTTCTCTGTAATTTTAAATAAATTCATCAATATTTATACTTTAATTTTCAAAATACTTTATTCTTTCTATTGGGTTTCGAATGAACGAAGGTCCGACTCCAGTATCCATCTTTCCCCAATCTCTTTTTGGCGGAGCTGCTTCACTATTGGTAAGTTATCGATAATAAATATGCACATTATTTTAAAAAAATTGGGTTAGATAGGGATTACAAGCTGCCAAATCATGTCTTTAAGGCGAAAATTCAGATAGCTAATTTGGGTGAAAATTCAGATAGCTTATTTTGGAGAAAATTATAGGTAGTTAATCAAGTGTGCAGCTGAGATTTCCCCTTAATTGTGTATTTTGGAATATGAATTGTGTACAGTTCATTTGTGATGACAATGTGTTTGGTGATTTGCCTGAAAGAGAAGATGCACAAACATGTGATTTTTTTTTGGAATGAAGTCTTGTTTACTGGAATGTATTTTGTATACATGATTGAACTTGCAACAAAGTTGATCTGTTTATAGTTACATTTGCCATTTTGTTTTAACAGAAGTGTGTGTAATTATTTCCTTGATTGGTAGATTGTTAACATCAAAAAATTTATTTGTAAGTCTCATAAATGACTTTTGCATGTTAGAATTGATTTTGTGATGAATGTCTGAAGACGGTTTGATCATATTTTGATTCATCGTGAATTTTGCCTCAAGTCTAGTGGCGTAGTTTGGATTGTTAACGCGTGTATGTATGTTGTTTGATCATGTACTAACTTTGGAGTTTACGCATTATATGTAATGGTACTTCAGGACTCAGAATGAAGTTGAAGGTAGTTTGGAGGAAAGTATCAGATTATGTTCGATATGATCTGAAAGAGATTGCTTTTCCTTCATCTTTACCGGACCCTCCTCACTTCAAAAAACGCAGGAAACTATCTTTGAAGGAGCGCTATCTTGTGAGTGTTCGTTTTATTTTTCTGTCTTTCTGGTAATGTTACTGTCTAATCTTGGTAGTATTGATTCAGGTGCTTAAGGAAGCGTCTAGGCTTTATGCTGCAAGCTGGGTGAGGGACATTGGTCCTGAACTTCGACCCAATGATTACAAAAAGAAGCGTGAGATTGAAGGCGAGTTGGATGGTAATGGAAAAGAGAAGGAACCCTCAACATTGGAGGATTTAGGTGAGATACCTCACTAGTTGTCTTTCATGGTATGATTGTTGGATCATTAGAGGTGAACAATATGTCTGAATACACATTCCAAAACATCCTTTCTACTTCTTTCGGGTTTGAATGGTAGGAGTTGGTGATATTAAAAGCAAAAAGTGCATAAAAGTGACAAGGTCTATAGGGCTTGAAGTGAAAAGTGAAGCTTCATGTTTCCTTAAATGAAGCACACAGTAGTTGTTTGCGATTATAGTTATATTTTCTTGCTTTACATATATGATTATTTGATTTTACATTTCGTTTTAGTGGTTATCATTTGTCCTGTATGTTGATTTTATTACTGAATTTCAGCTAGTCACCTTGTTTTCTTGACCCTCCACATAGTCTTCTTTGGATGGAATTATAAGCATGGTGTGTAAGCTTTCATGGATAAGTGTATTCTATTTTGATCTTTTTAAATTTTAACCGAATCTCTGAGGTCCTAGTTCACCAAAAACTCTGCAATAACATATGCTGAAAGTTTCTCATAACCATAAAACGATTGCACAACGTTTTGTTCAGTCATGTTGAAATTGTTTCTAAATAGAGTTATGAAACAACTGCATGTTTTGTCCGTAGCTGTGGCTGCAAGAGGTGGAATGGAGACACTACGACCAGCACTGCAACGAGTTTACATGACAAGAGCTTCTGCATATAAAGATGCACTCAAAAGTTTCATACAAGGATATCAAGAAGGTATCCAACAAACAATGGAGAAAACTGAAGACTCGAAATCTTCCAAAGACACTGATGCATCCAATTCCAAAGGACTAACTTGAAATTCTAATGACAATTTGTGAGTTTATCTTTTGCAATACCAACTGCAAGAACTTGTTCAATGTCCTCCCTCGTTTCTTTCGAGTAATCACTTTAAGGAGTATCTATTTCTCATTTTTGCACATTACTAGAATGCAGATGATATACATGAACAATACTTGAGTGTGCTATCAGCTTCTGGGCACTGCTTTAATTTTGCTCTCTTTCCATTCATTCTTCCTTTTGATGATCTTCTTTCCAACACATTGGTAGAGTGATTTCATCTTTCTTATCTATCTAAGTTTTGTGGCGAAATTACTCAATACTTATATTGGTGAGAAGTTAAAATCTAAATATGCACAGGATAATCCTGACACCATCACTAGTAATAAGAGGAGAGGGAGGCTGGTTATTAGCACCTTGGGTAGCTAATGGCGCTTCGTAATGGCTTCTGTAGAGTCCAGCAACTCTCTTTGCTATCTCATCCATTAAACTGTCGGCATCAACTATCGAGACAAGAATGTTACCTTAGCAGAAACCTAGTTTGTTCAGTTTTAAGCTTTCTAAATAGTCAAGTTGTGATTGAATGAAATAGATTAGTATTACTGTTTGTAATGTTTGATGGAAAAGGTCTTTGATTTTTTACTTTTGACATGCTTCTTGAGAATTGAACTTAGAGTTCACGGGTTAGATTGATGAGTCTTTTCAACAGTTCTTTCATAGGAATCATCAAAACATATACAAGTAATAGTAGTACATTGAACAGAGTGTTGAACAAAATGAATTAAGCTGTTTAAACTGTTAGTTGCTTTGAATACATGTCAAATAGTATTCCTAAGACACTGTGTTTGTCACTGACAACAGAATACACTGCCATCTTATCAAAGAAACTGGTCTCCACCATATTTCTTCTTGGTGAAGAAGCCCTAGGAAAATCTTTACAGTAGTAAAACAAAAAAAAAAACTCCTTTATCTATATATTCTTGAAATTCTTGTAAACAAACAATTACGACTTCGTCTCAGTCTCAATCAAGTAGGGATCGACTAGATTTTGTAAACGAACAGCCTCATTTGAGTGTTTGTTTACGTCAGTCAATCTATACTTGGATGTCCCACCTCAGCTGTCCAACTACCCCCCCCCCCAAAAACACTCTGATGTTTCTTTCAAAGTGCCAATTTCTATTCAATTACTTTCCCTATGGACTTGGAGTTGATATACATCACCTTTTTGGGAGAGCAAGTAGCCAGAAAATCTGGGATTTTCCCTTTTGAATTTTCTTTTAATTGCTTGTTTTTTCTATTCCAAGTGGCCCATGATGGTCAATCATTATGTCACATCCACAGATCTTATCCCTGATGATATCTCATCTGGTTGACATCTCTTGAGTAATCCATATCCTGTTACAACGACCATACAGTATAATTATTGCCACAAAAGAAAGGTTAGATATGTACATTATGAGGTCTCATGTTCAATTTTCAACGTAGACAACCTAAGGTTATTTTTTCAATCTATTTATTTTGATAGACAGAATTTATACCTAATACATGTTTCTAGGGAGGTGACACGTATTCCGTGAAATTAATTTCAACTCGGATTGTGGAGCAGTATTTTTGCTTCATGTTAAAGGCTTGGAAAACGTCATACATTTGACTTTACCCATGCATCATTAAATGGTATACTTGTTGTAATGCTAGTGGAGATAGGGTACCTGAAGAGGCTCTTTCGATATCCCTTTGTTGAAAAATTATGATTTATATATTAAGGTCAAAATTAATATTTTATCAATAAATAGTAGGCGTTGAATCACTATAACTTTAGCATATTCATATTTTGAATCCTAAAAACTCTCGGCCATTGGTTATCTTAATCTTACTCCTGTAATAATGAACTTAAATGGCCCCATTAAGTCTTTCTCTAAAAGTGGGGAAATTAATTTGTCAATTTCAAAAACCACAGTGTTAGCTTGGCATGAAAAGAACATTACCTAGCTGCTACAAAAAGGTAATAATTATCTTGCAAAAATGTTGTATGATGTCACTACCCAAGCTAAAATAATACTCCTTTGATTTTATTTTATGTGAATCTGAAATATGTTCTTGAAAAGTATAAAATTAAATGTTTGAAAATATATAAGAAGAGTTATAAAAAGTAACGAGAGAAATATTAAAAATACCACTAAACTCAGTAAGTTTCATTCTCAAACTATTGACATTTTTAAATCACTTGACTAACTGAACTTAAAATGCACCTTGATCTAGCAACGAGTGAAATACACTCTTCAATTCTCACCAAGTTTAGAGACATTTCTCTCTTTTTTTTGTAAAAGTCTCATGCTCCTACATTTGACACGACTTGCTATGTCATATGACAGATTGAAAGTATTACATATATACTTCTTAGGAATGTTTTTCAATACTTCTATCTACTAAGAAAGTAGTAGACATTAGTTTTTGATAAGCTAAGTCACAGAATTTGATTTGCTTCCTAAGTAGAAGTCTGACTCTAGTGGTGAGCAGAAAAGTTGACTATATAATATGAGGTTTGATCCAAAATATCTTATGGTTGGTTGAAGTTAACTTCAAGTTGCCTGCTATGGTAGTCAGGACCACATACCAAATTATTATAAAGATATATTATGGCCACTATTCATAATTATTTTATTCCCAATGAATTCTCCTTTCACACGACTCTAAACATGTGAAAAACACAAAAGTAATATAAGAAGAAGAAATTCCTCACATTTGTGCTAAAAAGGGAAAGAAGGAAAAGATTAGAGAATAGCCATACATGGTTAAGGCAGTTGAACTCAATAATTTTAATAAAATCAAGTATATTTGTAAAAAATAATATAACAAATTTTTAAAATTTTGGATCCGACCACGCCGTGCTATCCCAATTTATTTGGCATGTTTTTTTAATATGCCTTAGAAAGGTCACTTACATCTAGAAAAATTAACCTTTAAATTCTTATTTTATCTTTTATAAGATAATTTTTAGTTATAATAATAATAAGTTTTCACATTCTATCATATAGTGACACATAAATCAAAATTGAGATTATATTATTATTTTAAATAGACCCTACAAACCAAAAATATGGGAGAAGCAAAATTTTCAGAGGGTTGCTAAGGAGTTCTCTAGAACACGCCTGTTACTATTTGTCAATATCTATTTCTTATCTTCTTTTTGGAAAAGATAAAATAGTTTCGAAAACGACATTATTGAATAACGTATATATTGTTGATTTAAAAGCTTAATAAATACGGGTTTTTTTATCGTTCAATCAAATATAGTTTAAGATGCTCATCTCTTGCAAGTCTAAACGTTCTGTCCTCAAATATCACTATTATAAGACGCGAGAATTAAGATTTTCTTTATCGGTAGAAACAAGAGGATCAGTATGTGTTCTCACTTACCATTTAGAGTGACTTGAAACCCCAAACCAACCTAGTCTAATAATTTTCTCCTCCAAGACCATCACAAAAATCATTAAGATATGTGTTCTCAGTTTTCCTTCAAAATGACTAGATCCCCCAATCTAAGTCTAATAAATTTCTCCTCTAAGACCACTACAAAAATTATTAAGATATAAGACACGAGAACTAAGACTTTCTTTATCGGTAGAGACAGGAGGATCAATATGTGTTCTCACTTTTCCTTCAGAATGGATCGAACATCCAATCTACAGGAGAGGGTGAAAGATGCTTAACCACTTGAACAAGTCTCAGACTATCCATCAATACGACAATTAATAACGGAGGAACTTTTTTGGGACTTTACCATATTTATATTTTGAAATTGAAAAAAAAAATTATCTCTATTTTATATTTTGACAAGTAATTTCGGATAGCTATTTAAGGTTAACAACTAATATGCAGCAAACCTATTTATAGAGATGATGAAAAATTTTGAAATGAGGAAGAGGAAGTAGTTGTTAGCTAGTTGAGCAAAGAAGATAGCACAAATCCAAAACAGCTTACATGATTTTAATTTTTGTTATTTAATTTTTAACAAGCAAGTAGAAAAATTGATTGCTGCTACAAAAGTAGCACATTACTTGTTCAACTACACTACTATTTTTATGTTTTTTTGTTGGCCTTTTGTCACCTATCTCCAATTTAACTAATAATACACATGTTAGCTAGCTAGCTAGGTGCACTGTATTTTTTTTATAATTAAAAATATCAACTAGGGCGACTGCAGAGTACGTATACATCTGTCTCATTAAAGGAAACACATATTTTTCTTTTTAAAGTATTACTAAATTCATGTTCAAACGCGGAAAAAGTTCAAATTTTAATTAATAAAATAAAGAGCGTACCGTGTTATAATGATGGTTATTATTATAGGATGAAGCTGGAGGATTAGCATGAGGATTTGAATAATGGACTTGGTATTGGTAATAGTGTTGACCAGCTTGTGACTGATAGTATTCTTGACTTTGTTGGTGATGATTCGATGATATTGAACCATCTGGGGTTGATGACTCGGACCATGAAGAGGAGTCATCAACCTCGCATTCTAGGTTCACACCAAACAACCTTACTTGCCTCCTTGTGTTATTCCCATTTGGTGTTGTTAATTGGTTGTGCATTACTCCTCTACCTATACATTAAATAAAAACCAAATCAATAGATAAGCAAAAAAAAACAAACATAATTGATCAAGTGAGTTTAGTAAATATTGTGTACGAGAAATACGAGTTATGTATTTATTGATTTGATATAGTATAAATTTTAAATTTGATGTTTTCAATGACTTTATTTATAATTTTTTTGATGCTTCAAACAATTCTATCTTCAACATATTATTAAATCTTTAGAGTCAATAATCTTATACGAGGAGTTAATGAAATCAATCACTTACTATTGTTACTTCTGAATTTTCTTTTTAAGCTAGCTTTTAAGAGAAATTTCACTTTTGCTTTGCAAAATTTTGAAATAATTCCAAGTAAAATGCATATACAAACATAATTTAAATTTTCAAACTTTGAATTTTCATGTTATGATTTCAAAATCTATCTACTAAATTTCAAAATTTTAAGTTTCAACTTTAAAATATATTACTTGAATTTTAAAAGTCGAATTTTCAAATTTTAACTTCAAAGTATACCGACGCTGGGGAGCTGACACATAAAAAAAATGAAAAAGAAAAAAAAAAGATACGTGTAGCAGTTGTCTGCATGTAGGTACAGTTGAAAAAGCTGAAAAATGAAAGAAAAAAAAATCAA